ACTACAGCAGTCCATTTTCTGTTTTTTCCTTTTGTACAAAAATACCAGTGCTCATCATACTAGTTACTGAGAAGAAACTCAAAATTCCTATCTGCATGCCGATTAGAAAAGATGGCATAGATCCATTTGTTGACACATATATGGCATATTTACATATGGCATATATACACATGGGGAGAAAACATGAACCAAAGGCCGATTCAGTTGCAGGGAGCTCACCTCCCTTTGCCTCTCCCAAACAGAAGAAGAAAGGGGATAGCAGACCTAACTGCAGAGCTGAGAAGGCAAACGTTCTGGCTCTGAGCTGAATGGAGGGGAGGGAGGGTGTCTGGTCTACTGAGGAGGAGGCTGGGATGGCTTCAGAGCAGCTGGCATTGTAACTGCCCACCCCCACTGGTGCCATGGGTGGACCCCAGACGTAGAAGGTGGCTGAATGTGCGGACTGCAATGGTACCACAGTAGAGGTAAGGCGAGGGATGGGGAGAAAGGGAAGGATACAGGAGAGGATCCAGGCATATTCAAGCTTGCATACCCCTCTGGATTTTCAGTAGTGAGGTAATCACTCTGATTGATCTGTGTAACTCTCCCCTAAAGCTTGAAGGAAAACAGAATTCCAAACCTGAGGAATCCACGTGTGCCCAGAGGGAGTCTAGCTGGTCTCTCTTACATCTTTTGGGATGGGAGAAGCACTTTAAAGGACAGTGAAGGGCTGTTGAGAAGGACCTGGTCCTCAGACTGCCAGACAGAGCTAGAAGCAACCATTGCTGTATTTGTCTTTTCCAATTTGGAGCTCAGTCTGCTGTATTATACAAAATAGGAAGGTGTCTCAACTCAGATTCATGCACAAAAACTCACTAATGGGACCACTCTAGGGGAAAGAGGGAGTGCAGTAAGCATAAAGAAATGTAAGTCCCACGTCAGAGTTCCCTTGCTGACCAGAAGAGACTCACTGACAACACTGCCAGCTAACTCCTTCAGAACAGAAGTCCAACTGGCCCTCACCCTGGTTACCAACAAGCCTGGCACTCCTCCATGGCAGCACACATCCATGTCCTGACAGTCGAGAAGCCTCTTCCAGTGGTTCCCTCACCACTGTGGGTTCTTACCCATTTTCCTAGGTTTATCAAAAGACAGCTCTAGGATACGTTCTCTTTCTCCCCACCAGACCTCTTTCAAATCCAAAGCACCATTTAGGGGAAACTGTCATCAACTTTTGTCATAGTTACTCACCTTTTGGTGATGTTCCCAGCTCCTGAGAGGTGGGTGGGCAGAGGAGGTGTCGGGCAGTGTTCCAGGTGAAAAGGCACGGGCTTTCCTGGGTAGCAGTGGAGATGCTCGGCGCTGAAGGCTGGAGGAGGGTGTGTGGAAGCGAGGAGAGAGGAGGCAGCAGCTTTCCGGGGAGGGCCCTTTGCTCCTTGACAGAACACTGTCAGGAAGCCTCCTCTTTTGGATGTGTATTTTCAACACTGGAATATTTGCAAAAGTTGGGGGCCTCCTTGGAGGTGGAAAATGTGGGAGACAACAAAACTTAGAATGAGTAAAGTGAAGAGAATGTCAAAGCTGGTACTCGGGCGCCCAGCTGTGGGGAGGTTCCTCAGATCCGATGGATTGGTTCTTTAGCCCTTCCCAAGGCTCCTTAATACTCATTTCCCCAATAATCAGCTCCTTGGCAAATACCCTTGAAAATAGTCTGCTTCAGTGATTTCTGCTCCTAGGCCTGCTCCAAGTTGGTCCTGAAACTCCTCACCCAGCTAGGAGACAGGGTCATGTCCCATTCATTCTTTTGCTACCACCTTAGGCAAGGAGGAAGCTCAGGCCTATGGTAAAAACTATACATTATACATATGCAAGCGTCATGGTCATGGCTGATTTCCCTGGCACTTAAAAACCCAGACACACCCAAGAAGACAGATGGACATTCAGAAGTTGGAACTGACCTGGTGAGAATAGGGAAATATTTCACCAGTTCATTTGCTCCAAAAAAAAAAAAAACCAAAAACATTTTAGCAAAGAACTCTGCCTGCCTCTAGAACAAAATGAAAGGTTCTATTGGGGCCAAAGTCGGCTCGATTTTTACATGTCCTTTCCATTCTCTTAATTACCACAACTTCAAAAGAAAAGTAAGAGGAAGGATGATAAGGGTCATATAAGAACCAAAGAACCTTGGGGAGGTCAGACTGAAGGCTAGCAGCCTTAGTATATACATTTTCAAAGTAGGAAAAAATGTTCTAAGAATAATCAGTCTACTGAAATACAAACACGGGGCATTTGTCTGTCCCTGAGCCCACAACTTACCTCGTAAATGGCAGAAACTCATAAAATCTTCAGGTCAGGAAGTGGTGATACATGTGGGAACACTGTGGAGACTGGGTTGGGTGATGCCAGGACGAATGTCATCATTTCTTTAAAAATGACAACTGGTATACCTAAGGAGCAGATCTACCATTACCTGCCCAGGGTTTGACCGAATCCTTGTAGTCTGTGTTCTTGTTTCTTCATGACCAGGTGGGGGTTCTTACACACTTAGGAGCAGCTGACATAACAGTGACAAGTCCCATCATCACCCTATGGGCAGGATAAATGATAAAAGAAATAGGGAGAGTTCGATTGGTAGCAGGGGTGGAGCGAGGACCCCAGAGAACCCTGAAAGCCTCACTGCCATGGCCGGCCTAGTCACCACCGGGAGGAGCCGCAGCCTTTGGGCCAGCCCCAGTCATCACCACGGCAACCATGAGCAGGGAGGCCTAGACCCAGCAGCCGCCCTCAGGGCCGCCTACACCTAGCCCAGCTCCATGGGCAGTGGTGCGGGTAGTGGCAGCACGGGCGGCCTCATATGGGCGGCACCCGCTGGCGGGGACAAGGTCATTGCAAGGAAGGTTTTGGGAGCAGTAAAATGGTTCAATATAAGGAACGGATACGGTTTCATCAACAGGAATGACACCAAGGAAGATGTATTTGTACACCAGACTGCCATAAAGAATAACAACCCCAGGACGTACCTTCGCAGTGTAGGAGATGGAGAGACTGCGGAGTCTGATGTTGTTGAAGGAGAAAAGGGTACGGAGGCAGCAAATGTTACAGGTCCTGGTGGAGTTCCAGTTCAAGGCAGTAAATACGCAGCAGACCGTAACCATTATAGACGCTATCCACGTCGTAGGGGTCCTCCACGCAATTACCAGCAAAATTACCAGAATAGTAAGAGTGGGAAAAGAAGGAGGAATCGGAGAGTGCTTGCTCCTGAAGGCCAAGCCCAACAACGCCGGCCCTAGCGCAGGCGAAGGTTCCCACCTTACTACTTGCGGAGACCCTATGGGCGTCAGCCATACTGTTCCACCCCTCCTGTGCAAGGAGAACCGATGGAGGGTGCTGACAGCCAGGGTGCAGGAGAGCAAGGTAGACCAGTGAGACAGTATGTATCGGGGTTACAGACCACGATTCCGCAGGGGCCCACCTCGCCAAAGAGAGCCTAGAGAAGAAGGCAATGAAGAGAACAAGGAAATAAAGGAGATGAGACCAGGGTCAGCAGCCACCTCAACGTCGGTATCGCCGCAACTTCAATTACCGATGCAGACGCCCAGAGCACACTAACCACAAGATGACAGAGACAAAAGCAGCCGATCCACCCTCTGAGAATTCGTCGGCTCCCGAGGCTGAGCAGGGCGGGGCTGAATAAATGCCTGCCTACCATCTCTACCATCATCCGGTTTGGTCATCCAACATGAAGGAATATGAAATTCCAGATACACTAGAACTATCTGCATTATCTATGCAGCATGTGGTTTTTATTATTTTTACGTAAAGATGTCTCTTTTTAGTAATGACAAACGTATTTTTATTTAAAGGTCTTGTTTTTCTCAATATACCTTTAATAGTTTTTAAATTGTTTTATATCTGGTCAAGTTAAGATTTTATTATTACTTCAATTTTAAATAGCTTGCTTGCTTCACTTGTCAATCCCAGTTCCCTCTCCCTCCCATCCTCCTGTACCTCCCACCGTGCCCCCCCAGCCTCCCACCCTATCCTTACTTCCTTCCACATAGGGGATATCCAGAGTCTGTCATTTCGCTCAGGGCAGGGTCCAGGCCCTCCCCTAAGAGTTCAGGCTGAGAGAGCATCCCTCTTTGTGTTATGGACACAGAAGTCTGTTTGTATGCCAGGGATAAACACTGATCTACTGCCCAGGGCCCTGTGGGTTGCCCAGTCCTCCTCACTGACTCTCAGCTGTCGGTCTGGGGTTCAAGAGCTCCCCCTTGTCCAGATCAGCTGTCTCTGCTGGTTTTGCCAGCCCATTCTTTGCCCATTTGCTCATCACTCCTCTCTGTCACTGGGTTCCAGGGGTTCAGTTCAGGGTTTAGCTGTGGGTATCTGCCTCTGCTTCCATCAGTCACTGGATGAAGGTTCTAGGATGGCATATAAGGTAGTCGTCAAGTTCATTATCAGAGATGGGCATTTAAGGAAGTCTCTCCACTATTGCTTAGCTTGCCAGTTGGTGTCATCCCTTTAGATCACTAGAGGTCTCACTGGTGTCAGATCTCTCTTCAAACCTATGACTCCCTCTATTATGGTATTTCTCAGCCTGTTCTCCCCCTATTATACCCCCCACTCAACCTTCCTGTTCCTCCATGACCTACTCTCTCCTCCTCTTCTCCCCCTCTCTTCTTCCCAGCTCCCACTGGTACATTTACACAATGAAGTACTACTCAGCAGAATAAAACAATGGAATCTTGAAACTCGCAGGCAAATGGATGGCACTAGAACATCCTGAGTGAGGTAACCCAGTCACAAAAAGACACACATGGTATGTACTAACTCATATATGGATTTCAGACATAGATCAGGGGAGTGCCAGTCTGCAATTCCACTGACAGAGAGTCTGGGAAACAGGAAAGAACCTAAGAGAGATATGCATGGTACTCCAGAGAAGAGGAATGAGGCAAGATCTCCTGAACAGATTGGGAACACGGTGGGGAGTGGGGGAAGTGGGAGCTGGCAAGTTGAGATTTTAAAGAACTTCGTTTTTAATTTGTAATAAAAGTTTACAACTTGATATTTTCAAAAAAAAAGTCAACAAACTGTAAGCACCTGTTAATAAAGGTCTTAAATAATAAACAAACAAACAAACAAACAATAGGGCAAGCAGGGACTGGAATCGGGAGAATGGGAGTTCAAACTGATGTCTCCAGGCTTTGCAGAGGGCTGTTGGATTGGGAGGCAACGATTTGCACTTGGTTGCAATCCATGGCACTGTTGTTTCTGTTGTCATATGGAGTGGCCTCACTATATAACAGGAGCACCCTAGTCCCCCACCTTAGGAGCCGATTCAGGATCTCCTCTTGATCATCCTGGAATGTCTGTGGAGACTCATTATCTGCGTTGTATTCAGGCTGGGTCATGAATTGGTGGATGGAGAGTTCGTTCCTGGGTTTATGGAAATTATGGAGCACTCTGACCACTTTGATCTATACCAGGTGAACAAGAAAGAGGATGAGAAGACAGGGAAGTGAGAATTAGCAAGCAGAACAAGAAAAATGAGTGGTTTAAGGAAAGTAACAAAACCCCAACTATGAAACACAATGGCTCAACAACCCAAACCACCACACGCCTCAAATCTCAAGCACAAGGTGTGAGTGAGTGAGGCAGACAGGAGGGCATTTCAAAGGGTGCATTCAAAAAAGTAGCACAAAGCAAACAGCATTCCCAAACAATCCACTCTGAAAATGAAATCAAACCAAGAGACTCATTAGATCTTTTGATAGAGGCCAGCGTGTTGGAACTAGGTTACATTAACAGACAATCCACACAGGTGGGTTTCTGTGTTGAAGCCAAACCTTTTGTGAGTGTGGGATGGGAGAATTGCACACTGCGGCTTTGTTATCTGTTAAACCCCATCAAAGAGCCGACATTCACCAATCTGCACACAATAAACACTGGGTGACAAGTGACCGTGGGTACTGCACAGCCAGGCACACAAATCAATCTTCATTCCGCAGCATGCAGGAAATTAAGTCCCCAACTGTTCAGTCAGAAGACATGCACATGTTTGTACCCCCACAACCTCCACTGTGTCTCTTCCCCCTCAAAAGCAGAGTTCCTCCTCTCCATACCCTCTTCTAGAAGACGCAGATAAAGCACAGGGTGTCAAAAGAAGCCTTGCCCTGCCTACGGAAGAAGGTTCAGGGTTCACCATTCAAGTGTACATCCATGTCTGATCCACAGCCATGTTGCCCAAACCCAACGTGTAAATTCATGCTGTTGCCCAGCCATGTGCATATTAGGCAGAGAATATGACCTTGTGTGAAGAAGCGATGACCAGGAGAGAAACTTCATCCAGGAAGCCGGTTACCAATGACTGACTTCTCTGACAGGACAGTTGAAAAGAATGAAGAAAGGAGACACTTTGCAGTGTCCCTGGGTAGACAAGCAAACACACTGCCCTGTCAGTCTTCATTTTACCACATAGAAGAAGGGACTCAAGCTGTCAGGAGCCCAGAGAAGACCAATTGCAATAAATCCCTGGGGAAGCTTTTGCTTAATCAGAGCATCAACTTGTTAGGATTTTTGTTGTTGTTGGGGGAAGTGGTCAGTCCTACTCTGGTTCAGATACAGTCTCCCTCATAAAAGAAACGAGGGGGATGCAGAAATTGTTAAGGTTGGGAGAAGGTTAAGTAGTAATGGGTGGTGGTTTAAGAGTCTCTTTTAGTCTTCTGCTGTTTAAATAAAAAATATATATCCCTGGAGAAGAAGCAAGAGTGTGGAGCACACACAGTTAGCCAAATAAACCAGCTGGGTTTTCTGTCCCAGGACTTCTCACCACTTTAAGATCCTGCAAAGGCGTTGCCTATGGCAGCCTCACCATCAGAACTGTGGCTCTCTCTCCTCTATAGCCTACAGAGTCACCCATGACTGAGCGTTCAGAGCTTAGAAGGCAAGGGACTCTGCCACTCTACAGTCAGTTCAACACAGCAGCATACAGACGTGTAAAGGCGTCAGGGACCTGGTGGAGTGACAGTGAGGGCCACTTGCCACTTTCTATCCGCTGGCTAATTTCACCAGGCTGGTTGCCCTGCTCAGATCTGTGCGAGATGGGGCAGAGTGGAGCCTACCTCTAACTTCTGTGTGGTCCTAAGTTTTCTGTAATCTATACTTGAAATATATGAGAAAGACAAGTTAGGTTAAGCGAGCTTTAACTCAATACCCTCTCCCTTAGCCCTGGTATAAATAGTCTGACCAAGGGATAGGTCGAAAACTACCTCTCTTTGGTAGGTATTGTAGCAGTATTTTTATCTTCTATTGTCATCTTTACAGAGTCATATAGGAGGGCAGGGACCTTTATGCCTCTAGTTTATTATCCAGTGATTTTTAAATTTGTTGCTTCTAGGGTTTTTTCCTTTCATTTTTAAGCAACTGGACACTTCACTGCAACAATTTTATGTGAAGTCCATTATAAAAGGAGTTGATTTGTGAAAGTTAGGGTCAGAGGGTCTGAGCCTGTTTTATGACTTTTCCTTTCCCCTGTGGGGGCAATTAATAACACTCTTAAGGGTAAACAAATGAAGGAGATACAAGTGAAGAGGGATGAACAGCTGGGAAAAAAAGGAAACCTTTGGGGGAAGCAAAGAACAATCATTCAGTTAGAGTTCAGGACTTCTGGAGACCAGGGGAACCAGCTACCTGTAAGGGAGCTCAAGCTTGGAGTCAGGGCCCCGGGCCCAGGGGGTGAGGGAAAGGGTGAGCGATAGAGGCATGGGGCTATGCGGGAATGCTGGACTCCAACACTGACTCAGAGAACATGTGCTGACGGACAGCCACACGGTGTGTCACCACCTGATGCAGGGCTGGCATCTTCTGTGCCACAGGGTCTGAGGTGGGAACAAGGGAGGGCTATCGGAGCTTCACACATCCCTCACTTATGCACCCGAAGCTTTCCTCTTCACACGTCATTTTTCAAAACCGCGGGGAAATGCTTCCGGAGGGGCTGACTGAGGGGTAATTCCTTCGTGAGGCAGAAACCCAAAGTAGGCTGAAACACGGGTGAGTGTGGAGCATACTTTGGAGCTCAGAGCACGATGTCTCCATGGGAATACTGTACTCTTCTACTCCCTATTCATAGGCTAGGGGTAGAGAAGTCTAGGTCTTCCTTCTGGATGGAAGCCCGAGGGGCCTCAGGGAGATCCGATGCACAGCTGAAGTCATTTTAAGTTCTCTGGAATGGACAAGCTAGAGAAAGCAAGTGTGGTCTGTCTCCTTTGGTCTGAACTTTTGGGGGCTCAGGGCATGGGATCTACCAGCTCCTCTGGACCCCCTGGTCTCTGTCTTCCGCCATCAAGTCTCTGGGACAGCCAGCACTGGCCCTTTCTACCAGAGAAGTGAATGACTAAGCAGGAATGAATGTAGAGAGAAAAGAGATTAAGTGAGGAATGTGGAAGGACTAGAGGGAGAGGTTTCTTTGCACTTTGCCTGCCTTTGGGCCTTGAAGAAACAGCAGATATCACTGGCACCTACACCCTTATTTCCAACTCAGACCTGGTCTTCTATGGGGAGCTAAAAGGCAAAAGGAAGCTCAAGCTTGGAAAACCTGCTTCACAGCCATGTGAACCACAGGCAATGCAACCTAGGGCTGGCTGTGGGGAGGGATGGACTTGGCACTCGAGTATCTAAAGTCCATAGGATGTGACAGTGGAGGACCTTCGCTCACCGTAGTGACTGCCTCCCTCTGCTCCCAATTCAGGGAAGGTACAGGACCAGAAAGAGGAAGGCATTAGCAAGCGGTCAACAATCTGGGGTGCTGGGGTGACACACACCACCACATGGGTCAGAGAAGTTACATTTCTCCTACATTGTGAATGAATTGGTTCTTGAACTACATACAGTTCTATTAGGTGAGACAATACAGGTTGAACTAACTTCCGCTCTCCAGTCTTGCTGCCAGCTAACAGTGCAGTGGTAGCCAAAAGGACTGCAATGATTGAACAAGTTCAGTATCATCTCCATCAGGACAGGTCCTGGTTTACCCGTGGGCAGCGGCTCCCTCACCCCTGGTAAAGAGACTTCCTAGGTCTTCAGGGGACTGACCTTTATCTAAAGAGGCGACTTTAGACTCAGGAGAGTTGGAGAGGCAAGACACAGCAAAGCAAAACAACTCAAGAAAATAAGCAGCAAGCAATACAGAGGGACAGTCAGAAAACAGGGCTTTAAAAGTTATTTTAAAATTGTCTTTAAGATAGTTATTAAGGTTAATAACTTTCCAACATTAAAAAAAATCAAATGAGCCCGGGTGTTGGTGGCACACGCCTTTAATCCCAGCACTCGGGAGGCAGAGGCAGGTGGGTCTCTGTGAGTTCGAGACCAGCCTGGTCTACAGAGTGAGTTCCAAGACAGCCTCCAAAGCTACACAGAGAAACCCTGTCTCGAAAAACGAAACAAAAAAATCAAATGAAAGGTCATACAGCCTGGTTTTAACCAGGGTTGGGAAATTTTTTTTGTTTTGTTTTGGTTTTTTTTTTTTTTGTCTTTTCTTCCTTTAAGTCAAAAGCTCAAAGGGGAAAACAAATGTAAAGGATAAGTAACCACGGCTGGTTAAGGTAGATGCCACGTGCTCTCTTGTGGTCGCCTTAGCAAATCATGCATTGAACAGACTCTCACTCACTGCCCATAGGAGGAGCTGTAACGTAGGAAGGGGGAGATTTGACTGGTGCAACTGCAGTTATAGGAGCTAGGAACCAGGTTTACATCAAGGTGCTGGCTCATGTTCTGTAGCTTTAGGACTCCCTTAAAAGAGGATCCCGTCTGGAATGTGTTAGTTACTTCAATCTGCAAAGAATCAGAGCGTCTGGAATGTGTTAGTTACTTCAATCTGCAAAGAATCAGAGCGTGTGTTAGTTACTTCAATCTGCAAAGAATCAGAGCGTGTGTTAGTTACTTCAATCTGCAAAGAATCAGAGCGTCTGGAATGTGTTAGTTACTTCAATCTGCAAAGAATCAGAGCGTCTGGAATGTGTTAGTTACTTCAATCTGCAAAGAATCAGAGCGTGAGACAGCTTTGCTCCACAGGTAGAGAGGAGGGAGGAAGAGGAAGGCAGGATCAGGAGGGTGGGGGGGGCGGGGGATGGAAAGCAAGAGAGATTCCCTCAAACCCAGAGCAGCCGGTGAGGATGGGGTTGTGGAGGGCCTTAATTGCACATCAGACTTCATTTAAGGAACAATTTGCTATGGATTTTCAAACATCCAGCTACGATTCACTTTTGTTTCCTCTGTAGCCTACGATGGACATGTGTCGAAAGGCTTTTAAAATGTAAAGGAATGTCTCCCCACCACTAACAGCTAGGCAGTAAGTAGCTCATTCACCATTTGACCTGTACTCTTGAAGATGAGGCAGACAAACTGGCATACTGGAAGAAAAGTCTGTATTAGTGAAATTTAAGGCTCAGGAGCCTCAAACCCAACTAAGTCAACCAGTTATTTTTACACAATTTCCAGGAAAACAACACCCGGGCGGCCATGGTGGAAGACTGCTAGACTGAGCTGCTTAGTTTGGATGAGGTGTTTGTCAAGAGTGGAGTTCAGGTGGCCTATTAGAATTCTACTCATTGCGTTACGTAAGAACTGGAGACCTTCCCTGGCAGACCTGCTGACGAGAGGTCACCAGTTTCCTGAGAACTGGCACCCCAGTGGCTGGTGGCGCCTGGAAGCTACAACTCTCAAAGTCTTCCTGCCGACCAGAGCAGGTCTCTGGCTTTCAGCTTGCTCAACCTCAAGGACAGAGGCATCAATTTCCCACTGTGACTGTGATCTGGGGTCTTAATCAATCTATTATCCTTTTCTTTGACCCCCTAAGTCATAAGGAACAAATAGAAAGGGGATTGTTTATCCTTCTGAGATCCTTTGCGATTCCCCTTAGGAACGGCCCAGGAGGACAGGAAAGGCACTGTCTTTTTCCTGCCACTGACTCCCAGAAGATGAGGCTTAGGCCTCTTTTGTGTAGCAAGCCTCCAGGTAGGCCATACAACGCTTGGGGGAACCTCCAGGTGGAGACCAAGGTTAAAACACCACCCTTCTCTCATTTATGTGCTCTTCTGTTTCAGTGGACTGGGGGCTAAGGCTGTAGGTGAGGGCTGCCCTTGGGAAGGTTGCAGCCCATGAAGACGGTAGAAGCTGTTACAAGGTCCAACTTCCACAATGACATTGCACTCCACATTACTGTTCTAAGAGTGCAGCCCTTTAATTCTTCAAATACTTGCTTTCTACTGCTTTTACCTCCCCTGAACTAAAGGGGGGAAGGGAAAGGGAAGAACCGCCTAGAACCAGGAAAAGGGGAAATTACAGCCACGACAATAAGGGTTTTGCTAGGACCCTGAGGCTGAGCAGTTGATGGGGTGGGAGGACTCAGACATGGAAGGTGCACTCAACACCGCCTTGGCACCACCAGTCAGGTGCCAATTACAATGGTACGGATGGATCTTGCCAATGGTGCTTTTTTGTTGTTGTTTGTTTTTTGTTTTTTGAGACAGGATTTCTCTGTAGCTTTGAAGCCCATCCTGGGACTCTACAGACCAGGCTGACCTCAACTCGTCAATTCAGTCTTTAATAGGCTGCCTTTGGAGCCCAAGTTTAGGCTTTTGCTTCTCTGTCTTGGAGGTAGGATCTAGCTATATATATATAGCCCAGGCGGGCCTGGAACTAGGAACCCTCATCTTCCTGAGTGCTGAGAATATAGACATGTACCACCAAGCTTGATCTCCAGTTGAGGTTTTAAGGTCATTCTGACCCAGCTACCTTATGTTCTAGCAGGGAAAGAAGGATGTCTAAAGCTACATGTGCAGTGAGGTCAAACAGAGGAGTGTGGGAATGGACACTGGCAGTGTGGGGGGGAAGGTCCATGAATCTCAGCTCCCCAGAGGAAGACTGACGAGGAGCTAGGAGGCTCTGGAAGGAGGGATCCTGGCTAGGGAAAAAATAAAACAATCACACAGTAGAAGAGGAGGTGGGTGATCCTAAAGGGAAGAAAAGCAAAGAGGTTGTTTGGAAAGAGCAGACCCAAAGGACAGCAGCGGGGGTTCTGGGGGAGGAGTCAAGGCGCTAAGATCTACAGTCACCCAAGGGGCTCAGAGGAAGGGGCATGAGGCCGTCTGCAGGTCACAGGTTGATTCCCTTCCTGGCAGAGAGAGGAAGGAGCCAGAGTTCCCTACCTGTGTCTTGCCCCCTTTTCTACCTGGCATGTTGCTCAGGGAAGGACGGGGTACACAGTTTTGAGTGTGCATTCATTTATCTTCCCTGCACACCAAAACAGGGGGAGCGCTGGTCAGACAATTTTCTAAATCAGTCGAAAGACAGTTTTTTGAAAATGAAATATGTTGGGTATCTCTAAGCCAAGGAGGAGGAGGAAACAGGCCCTGCTCTGGAGAGTCCCCTTGAGATCTTGGAACTGATGGTTTGTTCAGGAATCTTGGGACTTAAACAGGAAAGGGTTGAGGGGTGGAGCAGAGGAAAAGCACTGTCAATGCTAAGGCTAGCCCACTCACCCAGAGGTAGTCATGCAAGGAAAGTGGAGAAAAAAAGAGTTACTGTCAGGGCTACAAGCGGGGACTCACTGGTACTCCATGTCAGAAATCACAAGAAGGGAAAGGAGAAAGGACAGTCTCTTCCTCTTTAGGGAGCAAGTCTGAGCCTTTCCAAAGACAACAACTTAATCACCAGGTTTCCCAGAGAGGCCTTACATCAAACTAGGAAAATGTAGGCTGGTGAGTCGTTAACAAAGACCTCCCCAGATAACAGCTTTTATCACAACAGCTACAAGAAGGTCATACCAAGTGACTCAGGGAAACCCACTATTATTCAATTTTATAAAAATAGGGTCTCTTTTCCTTCTTTGGGGCCAGGGAAGGACTACACAGCCCCTCTCGTGGGGTCAAGACTGGTGTTGGAACAGACCTCATGTGGGAAGACAGCTCCACTGACAGACTTGATGGGTGGGCTGTAGGGCCAACCACAGCTATGAATGAATAGTGACCCACGGTCCAGTCTGTTACCTCCCAGAGCAGCTCCACAGAGACCTCTGGCCTTGCTGACCTTGAAGCTAAGGAGCAGTGAGCCTTAGGATGGGGGTAAGGGTGCTTGCTGGCTGCTGGGAATCGCCCCTTTCCTACCCCTTCCCAGGATGGGGAGATCTCTTCTCCCAGGGTAAGGACAAGTCACTACAGAGTACCTGAGTCTGAATCCGGTGCAGGCCACGGAACCAGAGGATCTGGCCTCTGCGCAGCTCCATCTCAGCAAGATCAATCTCTTCCATTCCCTCAGCATCCTTGGTGATCTCCTCCTCGTCAGCGCCATGTCCAACCTCCTTCAGGAACTTCAGAGACTCGGTAGGAATGGCAGAGATCACCTGAGAGCAGTCACAGCAAAGAGGGTGACAGCCAAATTGGAGAAGAAGAGACGTTAGCTGGCCTGGTCCAGGCCCTTTCAGGCTCCTCTGCCTACGCCTTTCCCACCAGGACAGCACCAACAAGCACCAAACTGCCCAGAAGATTAACCAGTTGTTCTAACTGCCAGCTCTTAGGAAGGTTCACGGACACACAGAAGGGAAGTCAATTCCCATCATCTCTCAGCATGGGCCTTCCTACACTCACTCTGTCTCGGTTTGGTTCTTCCTTCCCAGTGGGATCCTTGTCTTTTGAGACAACACAAACCACCGAGCTGGCACAGAGGGAGGACGTAGGGCTGGGGCAAACCATGCTGGGAGAAGGAGAAGAGCACTTGTACTTAGGGAGTTGAGGGCTGGGAAAGGAATAGGAAGACAATTAGCTAAGAGTTTCTTCTTCCTTAATCCCATGTTTAGCTTGTGAAGGGACACTAAAGCGTTCTCAGCTGAGACTTGAGAGCTGCAAAGAATGGCCCAGGCCAGAATGGCATTACGGGAAGGATGAGACTCTTAGCTAAGCTGGCATTCTTGTAATCAATACTGACACCCACTAAGTACTTATAATAGGTACTGTCGTATTTTTTGCTTAGTGACAATTAGTGATTATCCTATGTTGAGGCCCCTGATAAATGGAGTGGTTAGGTAACTTGCCCATGGCTACTCAGCTTGTGAAAAGGAGAAGCGTGGTTCAGGCCCTTCCAGTAAATTCCAGAGGCTGTGCTAATCTACGAGTCACTCCCCCCTCTGTTGCGCATGTGCAGTACTGATTTATCTTAGGTAGGAGCTGGGCATTCAACCAGAGAAAGCCATGGTGACACACCACACTGAAGAGGCAGGGAACCCTGAACTGCAGCATCGCAATAGCCCTGGTTAGACCGCTGCTACAGCAGAGTGACATCGACTCTGAACTCTTCAACCACTAATGCAAAATTTCTATTTCTGTTTCAAAAAAAAAGCTAAGTTGAACATAACCCCCTGAAGTGAAGGCAGTGCCCCCTGTACCCCAAGACGGAAGGAGCCTGAAGCCCTGATGGAGGGAAGGGGACGGGAGGTAAGACAGAACGAGACACTGATATCTGTAGCCACTTGTCCCTCTCATTGTGAGAGGAACGGTCTACAGCCTTGAGGATCTGCAGAGGGCACCCCACACTCACCTGGCCCCACAAAAGCTCTCCAATGCCTATGAAGAGACACCACAACCACTGCTCCAGGGTGAGGCTTGTACAGCTGAAGGGCTTACCCCCAAACTCCACGATGACAATCTGAAACAGAGCAAAGGGCAGCCCGCCATGATGGAAGCATCTCCAGAGTCGGCCTTCCACCCACCAGGACTGACAGGGTGGTCAATGCCACAGCGCCCCCTGCAGGGCCAGAGTGGGGCAAGTCCTGATTCTCTTGTGGAACTCCAGAAGTGAAGAAAGGTGACAGACACAATCTTTATAGAGCACTTCAATGGGAATCATGCAGTCACTGTGACTATTGGGACGGTATTAATATGCAGCAGAGGAAGTTGGAGGCTTCCTGTGACTGAGGTCAAAAGGTGCCAGAGGGAAGGGACAGCAGAAGAGGAACAGAGCTAGGAATGGGGGTGACGGATGGGGCTGGAGGGAGGGGCTCTGCTGAGAGGAAGCCAGCTTGTTTCTCAGATTTATTTTTAAAATCGTGTGTGCATGTATGTGTCTGTGTGTATATCTGCACACGTGTCTGTGTGGGGGTCTCTCCTCTCAGCCATGAGCCACAGAAGCCAGAAGAGCTGAGTTATGGGTGATGATGAGTCACATGATGTGGAGCTGGAATTCAAACATTGGTCTCTCTTACTGCTGAGCCACATCTCCAGCTCCAGAAGATGGTCTTTTGTGCTGTGGCCTGCTTATAATCCTTTGTAGTCACATGCCTTGGTGACCCTCTCTGACTACAGCAAGGAGGGAGGAAGTCATCTTTCCACTCCCAGGCAACCGTGCTCTTGGCCCTAGCTCCTAGCAACAGGAGCTCAGCGCGTGCACCAATCCATCACTCTTCTCTGTGAGCTGTGCAACAGTCTCAAGCATAAGCCCCTTCAGAACTGAAGGGCAGGGATGGGGAAGGGCTTGGGGGTGAGGAGCCTGCACTACCCGTACACACACATTCCATGTGTGCTGGCATGGGAAGGAGACAGAAGCGAGTGGCCCTTTTCTTAGTCACTGTGTGAAAGTAGTCTACAAGCGAAATTTGCAGGTAACATGCTACCTTGCCCTGGAGCACCTGACTGAGCCAGTTCTAGAACAAGGTGCACATGGAAGCAAACCAGGAACCCAAAGTGTTTACTCACAGCCTTGGTCCCCAGAACTCCCTCTCTCCTCATCCTGGCTCCCAGCTTCTGCCCTCCATCCCCCAGCCCTCTGACCCCAACTCCAGATAGAATCTCACCTGGCAGAAGAACGTGCCTAAAACCACAGAGCAGAAAATGGTGTTGCGGTAGATGCCTGCAAAGACGTTCTTCTCGCCGTGGATCTTCCGGCAGTTGATTTCGTTGAAGAGCTGCATCAGCACGAAGGTGTTGAAAACAATGGTATAGTGCTGGCTGGGCGGTGCATGGAGAGGCGCCTTCCTTCCGCTATCAATGTCAAACAGCTGCTCACCTGGTGGGGGCGGGGCCAGGATTAGAGGATGCCTGTGGCCTCAGTGAGGGTTCAGGCTGAAAGGAAACAGTTTGGGACAGCTATGCTGGTGGCTTGTGAACATTACAAAGTTCATTCTAATTGGTCAGCTTCTGAGTTACACTAGCTATTGATCATTTTAATTTTGGTTTTTTGAGACAGGGTTTCTCTGCGTAGCTTTGGAACCTGTCCTGGAACTCACTCTGTAAACCAGGCTGACCTCGAACTCACAGAGATCCACCTGCCAGGATTAAAAGCATGTGCCACCACCACCCAGCCAAACATTTTATTTTTAAAAATAAAACATTCAAAAATTACTTCAGGCGTATGTATTTTACTTTATGTGTATGAGTGTTTTGTCTGTCTGTATGTCTGTATGCCATGTGTGTCTGGTATTGCTGAAGGTCAGAAGTTGGCATCAGATCCCTTGGAACTGAATTTACAGACAGTTGTAAACCACCAACTCAGGCCGGTCCCGAGTCCTCTGCAAAAGCAACAACTGCTTTTAATTGCAGAACTCCTTTTCCAGGCCCCATTAATGAAATATCTTAAATGTTGCTTCTGGTCTCAACATATCTGGTCTTGTCTGTCAGTTGGCCCCACTGGTACTTAAATCCCTGTGGCTGCGCACTGTGGCTGTGTGCTGGGAATACACAGGCAGCACGTGTGGGGGAAGCTGCTATTACGTCAGTCGGTCCTTCACCGTCTCCCATACTGCATTCTTCTCTCAGCCATCCTCTGTCCCTAACAGATCTGGCACCCAACAGCCGCCCCTCTCCCCAAATTGTGGCTCACCAGCAAAGACAAGGACAAAGATGACTGTGAGCTGATACACCGCATGGCCCAAGATGTTCTTCATCATGGTACGTGAGATCAGGGGCTTGTTTCGCCCGTATGGGTGACGCCTCAGCAGAGAATCGGTAGGGGGCTCTGTAGCCAGGGCCAGGGAAGCAAAAGTGTCCATGATCAGGTTAACCCACAACATCTGCACTGCTTTCAATGGAGAATCCTGTAGAAAAAGAACCAGGCCTTACAAGTTGCTCCAGAAAGCAAGCCTGCCTCACTCTCCAGCGCCACCACTCCCTTGAGGTGGCTCAGCTCCTGCTACCCACCAGACCTTGAATTTGGTTACCTAGGTACACAGGGACTTTGACATATTTATATAACTCCAGGCTCATCTCTATAAGGGGAAAATAACCTCTGCCTAGCAAGCTTGCTTCATAAAGACAAAGATAACCCACGTAAGTACACTTCACTTCCTCAAGGCCCCTATGGTTAGCTAGTGGCAAGCTCCAGGCTTTACTTGTACACGCAAGACATCACCACATAAAAATGTTAAATTAATAAACCACTACAGTGGAGTCTGTAAACCTGGTATAGCTAACTGTCCAAGTAGGGTTGGGAATGGGATACACCTGTCCTTAACTCCTGAGGAGGTATACTATACCCCCTGCCCCCACTCCTCAGTCCTTAAGTCATCCCGGCTATGCAAGCTCGGCCCAACCTGAGTGATGCAGGCTCCAGTGAAAGCCACTATGACAGCTACCACATTGACGGTGAGCTGGAACTGCAGGAACTTGGAAATGCTGTCGTACACGTTCCGTCCCCACATCACTGCCTTCACAATGCTGGTGAAGTTGTCATCGGTCAGGATGATGTCTGATGCCTCCTTTGCCACGTCTGTGCCTGCAATACCCTGAGGAGGGAGAGGAAGGCAGACAGTGAGCCGCTAATAGAGTCTAATAACTCTGACCTCCAAGAAGCCGCAGAACCAGGCATAGGCACTAGAGGGCACTATAGCCACAGCAGAAAACAAAGGGGCTCCACTGCCCTGCTGCTCTAAGGAAAGAGAATCCCTCAAGCGATCAAGAGAAGGACTGCCATCTCCTAGTCCTTCTCAGAGCCTCTCGCCAGCACCCATGAGAGGTGTGTGCACACGGAGCTGAGCATGCTTCACCACCTGTGCTCTTTGTTCTGAGGAGACCCTGGTTTGAAAAGGCCACACAATTCACAGAGAAGTGATGGGTTGATGCCTGCGTGTTGGAAGTGGTAAGCCTGGCTGGGCTCCCACTGTGGCCACTGGGTCCATGGCTGCTTGGTGGAGAAGAGAGACTATTACACACCTGGAGTCTGACATAATTGAGTGACTGCTGCCCCAGATGAGGAATTAGGCATCTTTTAACAGTCCTCTCTCTCATCCTACTACTCCCTCAGTCTTAGCATTGAAAGTGAAGGGGCAAGTACTATGTGTCCTATCTCCAAATTCCTACATTTCTTTCAACACAAGCAGGACTGAAGTCCATGTCTCCCCCAGCACCTAGTTGAAACTGTGCAGTTTGTTCTAGGAAAAGCGGTCTCATAGCATACAGTGTTCTGTCCTTGTTCAAAACCTTGTCTCTGGGGACCTATGAAGGGCTTCTGAATAGATATGTCAATGGCTGGAAACCTTCTAGGAGGACAGTCCCTGTCTTCACAGTGACCCTGGATTCACGTTCCAACTTGTTCTTGGGCAAGCTTTCAGATCAAGCCTTACTGGCTTATGAAAAGTCCCCTGAATCACTCATTCCCTTTTAGAGTCTGGGCTTTTATTTCCATCGTTTCTCTAAGCCTGAAACATCCTCCTTCACTGTACATTTGAATCCTATTGATCTTTATTATCCAATTCAATTAAATCCTAACATCCCAGCATATACATTACTGCTGTGCCTAGTTTTCCTCCTCATCCTCTTCTTCTTTGAGACAGGG